TGTTGGGGGGGGGCACAGGGAGGGCTGTGCAACACAGAGAAGACAAGTAGTGATTCTACAGCATCTTACTACACTGATGGACAGTGACTGTAATGGGGTTTGTTGGGGGGGACTTGGTGATGGGGGGAGTCTAGTAAACATAATGTTCCTCATGTAATTGTAGACTAATGATACCAAAATAAAAAATAATTTAAAAAATGCACAATATATTTAGATGTATTTATGTAGAAAATCATACATGAGGATATACACCCTAAATAAAACAGTGGTTACCTCTGGTGAGGAGATCTGGGTGATCTTATTTATTTTTTGATCTTCTGTCAATGTTTCCATAGTAGTATCAACTACGCATCCAAAATATAAAGGGAAAAAATAACATAATCTTTTAAAAATCAGCACAAAACTGGGTAACAAGGGCAATGAAAGGCCCAGAGAAGCCCCCTGGGCCCCACCCTGCTGTCGTACTAACCTTCAGGAGCTTAAAGCGAGATGCTGGAACAATGAAGTGTCTATTCTGCTTCTTCTTGCAAATGCTGCAGCTACAGAAAGAACAATTCCAAGATTGTGAGCAACCATCTGCAGCCTCCGAGTGCCCAGGGAGCCAACCTGCTTTGAGTGGCTGAGCCCAGAGGTGAAGCCCCTTTCAGCACCATCCAGGGACCACCTGGGGCCTCTGCTCTGCATGTGCACAAGGGCTGGCAGGCCCCACAGCCAGCAGTCAAGGCTACACAACACCCCTCAGCAACCGGGACCAAGAGCACCACCTTCCTGCTGCCCACTGTCCAGTTTCCCACAGAGAAGGGCATGGGTGGATTTTAGAGACACTTAGGAACCAAGTATCAGGCACAGCTACAACCTTTTGCCTCTGGGATAAACATCCATGCCAAAAATGGACACAGAAGCTTAAGTTTCCCTCTTACCTCATCTGTACATCACAGCCTAGCTCTAAGTCACAGGTCCACAGAATTACCGTCTTTGGAATGAAATCTAAGTCCTTTCTTTGCAGTCTACCTTTTAAGAAATTCTAATTTCATATGGAATTCTCCAACAAATTACTGTGCTTCTCTAATCCAGACTCCACTGTTAGCAGCCTTGAATAGTTAGTTATATGCCTACTACTGGCTCAAAAGTCAGAGCCTGTAGTCCTTTCTCTGTGTTGATGCCTGGGACGATGCTAAAGAGCAGGTCCTCCACAGACTCTGAAGACCCCTCTGCCTCATCTGGAAGGCCATGGTGAGTCTCCAGGTGTGCACACCCTGCACCTCCCAACTCTGGGCTCCTGCAAGGGCTCTGCCCAAGGGTACTCATTCAGCACCCACCCTGACCCATCTCCGGCTAAGCACTCATCCATCTGCCGGCAGCGTTAGTCTGCAGGGCGACTGCCAGGCACAAGCCAGGGGACCCTGCTCCGGGCCACCTGGGGCTCTGCTGCTCTCTGTGTCTCTAGCTCACTCTCTGTGTCTCTCTCCTCACACACATACACGTGCGTAGCAGACTCCATTAATTTTAGCCTCTCCCCATCTTTAAAAAAACTTTATTACTAAAAACATCTAGCACATACAAAAGGAAAAAGAATAGAACAATGAACCCCTCTGTGCCCATCACCTGATTCTGTTGTCAACAATTACCAGCTCACTGCCAATGTTGTTTTATCTACACCCCAACCCCCTGGATTATGGTGAAGTGCTGCATTTTAATTCTTAAATCCTTTTAAGCAACTAGGGAAAGAAAAATACTCACTTGCAATCAAAGATGTGCAAGTCCGCTGAGGCCCAAACTTCAAAGCGAACTGCTCCACAGTGGCAGCCTCCTGTGTGTTTCACCAGGCCCTGGTATTCACTACAGAAACAAAAACATCAGGGAGGTAAGGCTTTCGGAATAGTCAGCTAGGACCTATCACACAGTGTGTGCTGCACCTTCTCTCCTGTCGTTAAAAGAAGATGGGACAAACGTCTTCTCTACATGACAACCAAGTGCATTTCTGCTCTTGAGAAGGGGCTGTCGATTTTATAGAAAGGACGCAGTGCCTTCTTTGTCTATGAGTTCTCTCTTTATTTCTTATAGTTTGCTAAATTGCAAAATAAAGCATTCCAAAGCCATGGAATATGGGAGTTGGGCAGAGGATCCTAATCCCACCAACCAAACATTTTTATTTACACTCCAAATACTTAGTGATATTTTTTTATGCCAGGGAGAAAGTGGTAAACAAGATACAGCAGACATGGTTCTTGGCCTTACCGGCTTTAAGCAGCCATCAGATTACCCAAATAGTATTTAACTGAATGTTATAAAGGCAGTACAGGCTGTCGTGAAAAAGCAAGACAAGGGGACCTGAGCCAGTCTGGTGGTTCAGAAAGCCTTCTGAGAAACTAACAAAGGCTCTTACAATACCCCTAGGTGCCCACTATTGTACATACATGACTTTTTAGTTATATGTACACATTGAATACAGTTTTAATCCTTTTAAAACATATTATATATAAGCCAGGCCCTTAATCAAACATTATTATGATTTGATATCAAATTGTTTTCCAAAAGGGCTGAGCCCTCTCATCATTAATGAATGAGAAAACATTTCACTGTACCTCCTCAAGCAATTATTACAGGAAAAATAGTCTGCTGCAGTTTTAATTTGCATTTATTTGGTTACTGAGACTGAATACTTTTTTCTTTACAAGTTGGATGTGTTAATTTGATGTATTTAGCTTTTTCTGTGCATACCAAAGGCTTATTGTAAAAAATTCAAACATTACATTTGATGTTACAAAGGAAAATCTGTAATCTTAACACCCAGAGGAATCCAGTTAACTATTTTCTATATATTCCTCCACTTTTTCCCATTCAAAAATATTTTAACAACAGTGCAGTTATACATTCTTTTTGCATATATTAGTAAGCTTTGGTTTTTTAATAGTTATACTCATGCCAATCTGATAGGTAAAAAACCTCATCTTTTGACTTTATGAGTCAACATTTTACAATCTTTATGACCATTTATCAGTTTGTTTTAAAGTTGAAAATGTACTTCAAATTTGAGTTTTACATTTCTGAGGACCTTAATATTCCCGACACTTAGCAGTAGGTGGCACACCATATGGGCCCAAAATGTTTGATTATGAATATAAAAAAAAGTTCATCCTGTAGTCCAAGATGATAAATCAAAAAGTGAAGCCACAGAAAACTAAATATTCCATCTCTCAGAAGATGCATCCTAAGAATTTCTTCTGAAACAAGGACAAAGGAAGATTTTTATTCAAGAAAAGGAGTAATCCTCAGGTTGTTACGCAATTGTCAGGCTGTTCTTGTTTTCTGTAGGGTTTTGACTGCTCCTTGTAATTCATAAAATAATTGACACAGATTTATTATTAGGGTGCTAACATATTTCTCTGTAGCACAACTGTTGTACAGGGCAAGGATCTAGATGTTATTACATTGGTGAAAACAAGCCGCCCTTGCCAGTTAAGGGCTCTTTTCTATCACCACGGACCCTGAAATCCTCCCCTGGCCATCTAAGGAGCTGGAGAATCTTCTGCAGGAGCAAAGTTGGGGGAGCGCTAAGGGAAGTGTGCCGCCCGGGAGCATCAGTTGGTGGAGAGCCGCGCGGTTCCGAATCCCAAGCCTCGCCGTGCGCGCGGCTCGCAGGGATGCATAAACTCCCTCCCTGCCACTCCGCGCACTCGCAGGCTGTGCCTGGAACAATAACGGGATCTCGCCTCCAGTTGGTTCAAAACTATTAAAGCTTTTCTCAATTCCCCCTCGCCCTTCTCTCCCCACCTTCTCTCCAAAACACTGCGCAAATATAAAAAGCGACTCAGGATCGAGGAAAAGTAGTGGGATTTACTTTCTTTTCACTGGGTAAGGCCCCCTGCACTCTTGGCGCGCCAGACAACGTCCCGAGCACAATGGCTGGCCCAGAGAAAGACCCTTTGTCTCCGGGAACGCGGAGCGTCCCTCCACAAAATCTGGGGCGTAGCCTCTCTCCGGTCCTGGGCCGCACACCCCAACGAGGCCAAGCCACTCCGCCGTTAGGTTAGGAGCGAGCCTGGGGCCGTCACACTACGGGGAAGGCGCAGGGCCGAGGATGTGCCCACGCCCGCGGGCTGACAGGCGCGCTGCGGGAGGCGGGCCCGCCGAGTCCCGAGCCGAGGGCGGTCGCGTGGCGCCGGCAACCGCTCGCCCGGCCCGGCCGCACTCACAAGGTGTCCAGCAGCAGCTTGGCGGTGCCCTCGAAGGTGAGCCTCTGCCGCTTCTGGAACGTCTCCCAGCGCTCCCGCTGGTCGCCCAGGTCCAGCGCGGCCACCGAGGATGTCGGGGTCGCCGGGGTCGGAGGCGGCAGCGGGAGCAGAGCCGGCTCCGGCGGCGGCTTCCCGGGGCGCCCCTCCTGGGCCCGCGGCGACGTCGGCCTCAGCCGCCGCCTCGCCGACGGCTGCCTCGCCGCCGCCCGGCTCCCGCCCCCTGCCTGGCCCGAGGAGCGCCGTGAGCGGCTGCCGCTGGACGCCAAGGCGGCGGCGGCCGCCAGGGCCTCGGAGGACCCGGGCCGCTTCTGCCCGCGCAGATTGGCGGCGGAGCTGCTCCTCGCCTGCCGCATGGCTCCCGCAGGCTGGCGCGCAGGCCTTGCCGCCCGCGCGTCCTCGCCGCCCCGCGCGCGCCCCCGCCTGCTCGCCGCCCCTGGCTGCTGCCGCCTGCGCCCTGGACGGAGACCCGGGTCGCCAGCCCGCCTCGGGGCCTCCGTCTGCGCACTCCGTCCTGCAGGCCTAACGGGGCCGCGCCCTGGGCCTCCGCCCCCGACACCCAGAGCCCTCTGTGGAGGCGCCTCTGTCCCCTCGGAATCCTGGGGAGACCTGGGTCAGCCTTGAATTCACAGCCACGTCCCAGGAAGTTACCCCAGCTGTCCAAGATGAGGACAGTACCTACCTTACGGCAACCATCGTGCGCCGGACACAGCCTGTGTGTAAAGGGCCAGGCACCTGCTATCTGCTGTGCTCAGTTCTTAAACTTATCTTACCTGCCAGGTTATTAAACAGTGTCTTGAGGATATCGATGGTCAACAAATTTTTTAATAAATGAATGAACCCAGCGCCAAATTCCCTGTTAGGGTTTTGTTGACCACAGCACCAAGGTTGAAAGTTAAAAATCGCAAGAACCCCTGATAGAACCAAGATATTTTCTCAACCTATTAGTTGCTCTATTTTACTCATATCTTAAAAAAGAAACATTTTCTTTTACTCATTTTTCTATTTTGCTCTCTACTTCCTTAATTTCAACTTTGCTCTTTATTGTTTTGTTAATCTTATGAGTTTAATGGTTTATTGAATTAAATACACAATTTATTTTTAATATTGTTTGGTAGTAATAAACATATTAATGACTATAAATCTTTCTCTGAGTAGAGCTTTACCTGTGTCCATTCAGGTTTTATATGAAGTGTTCCCTCTTAAAATTTTGTAGATAATGTGTAGTTTCAGTTTTTGCCATTTTCTTGATTGGAGTTACAGTTTACATACCACAAAATACCTATATCTTAAATGCACAGCTCATGTAAGCCCCACCAATTCAAATACAGAATACTCCCAGCACTCCAGAGCATTTCTCAGGTAACAGAAAACAGAGGGGACCACTATTCTGGCTTCTCTCACCATGAGTTAGTTTTCCATATTCCTGAAAGTCACTCAAAAACAGCGTGTGTTCTTGTATGTCTGACATCTTTTCATTCAGCCTATTTCTGAGAACCATTCATGTTGTGTATCAATTTCTTTTTTATTGCTGTGTAATATTTAATTTATGAATACATCACGTTTTATTCTGCTGATGGGCATTTGGGTTATTTCCAATTTGGGGGCAATTATTAAGAAAGTGCTGTTTACATTTATATTTGTGTACACATCTTTTTGTGAACTCATTTCATACATGTGGAATGGCTGAATCATAGATAAGCAGTATGTTTCTGTAAGAACTGCTAAGCATTTTTCCAAAGTGGCTGCACAGTCTAAGACTTCACTGTATGAGAGTCACAGTTGTTCCACATCCTCACAACACTTTGTATTATCAGTCTTTTCAAATTTAGCCCTTTCTGGTGGGTGTTCAATGCTATCTCCTATTTTTGTGCATGTCCTCCAAGTGTAGTGATGAGTACCTTTTCATGTGCTTATTGGTCATTTGTACTTCCATTGTAAAGTGCCTGTTGATGGACACTCCTCTTAAAGTCCATTTTAAAATTGTTTGATGTGGACAGGGTGGAGCCAAGATGGCAGCATGAGCAGAGCAGTGGAAATCTCCTCCCAAAAACACATAGAGCTATGAAAATATAACAAAGAAAAATCTTCCTAAAATAGAGCACAGGACACAGGACAACATCCAGACCACATCCACACCTGCAAGAACCCAGCGCCTTGTGAAGGGGGTAAGATACAAGCCACTGCCCGGCGGGACCCGAGCAACCCTCCCCCCGGCTCCCGGCAGGTGGAAAGAAACCGGAGCGGGTTTTTTTT